CTATCTATCTATCTATTCTATCTATCTATCTACTATCTATCTATCTATCTATCTATCTATCTATCTTAGTCTATATACTATCTATCTATCTATCTATCTATCTATCTTCTATCTATCTATATCTATCTTGAATTAACTTACCTCAAACACTGCAATATGCTCATACTCTTTGTAGATGACGATGAGATGCCACAATGTGAAATAGCCATTATCTGGAAATATTTTTGTAAAAACTTTATTTAAACCCAAAAAGTTTTATTAAAATTTCGTTTATAAGTTCAAAGTTGTTAGTAATTAAAATAAAATTTTGAATAAAATGGATCATCAAAACAGAGTTACCAAGAAATGATACATTAAATAAAAAATTAATAAAAATGAGTAAGAAAATCAAAGTAAATGAAAACAATAAATGGATACTACCCTACGAACACCCCCAATCACCTGTGGTTGGGACCTGTTACGTAATATCGTTGTGCTGAGTTTACGTCTCTGTTCAGGTCGTAATAGTTCGGAGGATGCATTTGTGGAACTGGGATTTTCAACAACTCGTGGCGGTGTTTGAAATGCTGCTGTTGAACTTTGTAAACGTGTTTTCACAACTTCTAGGGGACATGTTACAACGGCACCAACTGTACCAGCAGTTCTGTAAAATAAATAATATGGTACAACAATTAATTAAAATTATTTACAAAAAATAATTGCATTTTTTTGAAATTTATTTAAAATATTAGCTAAAATTAATCAGTTTGTTTGTATTTGTTTGCTTTTGGCATTCAATAGTTCTTTTAAAATGTTAGCGACCGACCGGCTGTCGTTGTTCCAAAATTAGAAGGAATTCATTGTCGATGGGAAATTGTTTTAAAGAAATATAGTGCACCATATGTATGTAATATGTATATTATCAATAAAATTAATATTTGTTTGGCCTTTAATTTGAAATCTCTTAATGACGTTTGAAAATTTGTATTATATTTTTTTGTTAAAATTTTGTTAATGCATTAAGTAATTGCAAAACTATGAAGTGGAAACATTTTTTATACTTTGTATAGCTTTTTTTCTATAGCGCCTCGCCTTCTATATATAAAATGAGTAATTACTTGGGTTTGTATGGTGGAACAAATGCTCGAAATTTTCCATACAAGTTATTTTGATAATACTTATGGGTCATACTTTTTCACCCATTTCATAAATTACCCCCTTTTCGTAAATTATCTTTCATAGCTTAAGATATAATGTAGCCATTTATGGACTATAGACTAGACAGTAGCTGAGACTATAGATCAGATTATAGTCGTGTCAATACACTAACTTAAATCGAAACTACAATCTAGATTGTGGTCGAGACTATAGTACAGACTGTAGTTGAGACTATAGATCAGATTTTAGTTGAGTCTATACTATATTCTTAACTACAGTTTAGACTATACACTAGGCTGTAGTTGAGACTATAGAAAAGATTACAGTTGAGCCTTGAGACCAGACATTAATGTAGACTATAGACCGGATTATAGTCAATAGACCAGACTGTGGTTGAGATTATAGTCAAGTCTATAGATCAGACTATAGTCGAGACTATATACCAGATTACAGTCGAGCCTATAGACTAGACAATAGTCAAGATTATAGTCGAGACTATAGACTAGACTATAATCGAAACTAGGTTTCAAACTTTAGTCGAGACTATAGAACAGACTGTAGTCGAGGCAATAGACCAGACTGTGGTTGAGATTATAGTCAATTCTATAGATCAGACTATAGTGGAGACTATATACCAAATTATAGTCGAGCCTATAGACCAGGCAAAAGACAAGATTATAGTCGAGACTATAAAACAGACTGTAGTCGAGACTATATGCCAGACTATAGTCGAGTTTATGGACCAGACTATAATCGAGACTATAAAACAGACTATAAACGACAATATAAACTAATCATTCACAGATAGTTCTTCGACTATGTTTGCATAAGTTGATCTGCCAATTTACCAACAATTTTGCCCATATGACAGAATAATCTTTAAGCTAAAGTAAATAAACTACTTGCTTAGCAACAAGCTGCTAAATTATATATAAAATTATTTAAAAAAAAATTAATGAAGTCATTACCCCTACCTTAGAAAACAATTAATATATCTGTAGCATAGCGCTTGTAAATAATTTTGGACTTAATTAAACAAACAATGTATCCAAACACATGCCTTTCTAATTAGTTTTTCCTATGCAATAAGAAACCCGGCAAGTTTTGAACAAAAAATTCCTAAAGGAAACCATGACCTTCTTCAACAAATAAAAAAAACAAAGATTTTCCAAAACAAAATAAACATTTTTATGAATTAAACTATTAGTAAAGAATATAAAACAACAACTAACTAACTAACTACACACAAAACTTGTGACTAATATTTACGTTCGAGTTATCATATAATATTCGTGTTCGGCTAATGGAAAATTATTTAAATGAATTTGATAACAAAATAGAGAATAAGCGAACACATTAATGACACATGACTTTAATAGGGAAAAAATTTTGAAATATGAAAAACTTTTAGCGGATCTATAAATGAATTGTTTTTTAATGTTGCTGTTGTCTGTTACAAAAATAATAATACTAATTAAAAGGTTGCAAATTCATATTGTGTATTATATTTTAAAAATAATAATCTAAAGATTAGCTATTTCATCAAAAAGATCACATTTTACGAAAGCAAAGTAAATAATGAAATAGACCGATAATTTCATCTCGTCTAAAAAAAATTTAAAGCATGACTGGCATGTGCGCAAATTAACAAATTATAAGTTTACTTGTTCATTCACTTTTGTTCACACGTTTTTTTTTGTATTTATACACTGAGAAAATTAAAAGAATTTCCTTTGTTCTAACAATAGTATGATTTTGAAGTGTCATATCAAACAAATATTTCTGTTTGAAAGGTACAAAATTCAGCAAAAATCGGTAAATGTTGATATATCAAAAATAGTACTTTCTTGAACTAAAAGTGCATATTAATTTGCTTTTCGAATTTTTCCTTCTATCTGAATTTTAAAGAAAACTTCACACTAACCTATTGGCTATTCTGCTGGCTAGTATGTATATGGATTCGAGTATTGATTACACTATGGATTAGTCTATTGATTAGTCCATGGATTTCTCTATTGATTTGTCATTGGACTAGTCTATGGATTATACCATTGACTAATGTATTGACTGGTCTATTGACTAGTCCATGGACTCCTTTATTGACTAGTCAACGGTCTGCACTAATGACTAGTTTATGGATCATTATTTTGACTAGTCTGTGACTTGTCTATTGACAACTCTATTGCTTAGTCTGTGGACTAGTAGTTGGACTAATCTATTGACTATGTTCTGCTAAGTATACAATCTAGTTTATGAACTATACTATTGACTAGTATGTGGGCAAGTATGCGGTTCGCTCTTTTAACTAATCTATTGATATTTGTGGGTTAATATATTAACTAGTCAGTGGACTAGCCTATTGACTTGTCTTTAGAATAGTCTGTGATCTAAACTTCTGACTAGACTATGGATTAGTCTGCTGACTAGTCCATGGACTTCTTTATTAACTAGACTATTCTATGGACTAGTATATTGACTAGACCATGGATTTCTCTATTGATTAGTCTATTCTCTGCTCTATTTACTAGTTTATGGACCACTAATTTGACTTATCGGTAGCCTAGTCTATTGAATTGTCAGTGGATTACTCGAATGCTAGACTGTGGACTTCTAAATTGAATATGCCATGGACTACTCTATTTACTAGCACAGAGTCTGCTCTACTGTCTAGTAGGGTGATCGACTCGATTTTTCAACCGGTTTTTTCTAAATGTTGATTTTTCGAATATCGAATAACCCGGTTTTTTCACTTTTTAAAAACCGGTTTCGAATACTTTTATTTGCTTTGTATTCAAAGATTATTTAAATGAAATTTTGAAGTAAATAATACAGCCCGTTTAAACTTAAAAATATTCGAGTCCAGGAACTAGGATATATTTTTCTAAAGCACCATTGGTTAAACTTTTTTGATTTTCCTAATTAATTAAAAAATTTTATTTGTAAAATTAATAACTGTTTAATAAAATTTTATTAATCTTAAGATTATATTCCAATTACAATAATTAATTTACCGCTGAAATATTATGGAAGTGTTGGAATGCCTATGAAAATTTCCTAAAAGGGCTTTAGAATAAGCTAGGATTACATAGTACCTTATGTTTAACAGAAGTGTCCACTTTTTTCCTAATTTTTTTATATTAAAGAAATAATGTAAATCAGACGACTAAATCTAAAGTTATAATCTGTTAAACTGTTAAAAATCATTTCGGGCCATGTTTTATTAATCAAATTTAAACATAAACATTAATTTCTTCAAATTAACATATATTTTTTTATTTATTATGAAAAACCGGTTAACCGGTTTTTTCTGAATTTGAAAAATATCAACCGGTTTTTTTGAAATGTCAACTATTCGAAAACCGGTTTTTGGAAAATGTCGAATAATCGAACACCCTACTGTCTAGTCTACAGAATAGTGTGTTGACTACTATGTGGGTTAGTCCACATAGTATTCTTTTAACTACTTGGTTGGATAGTCTATTTACTATTCAGTGGACTAGTATATATTTAAGTCTATGAACTAGTTTATCATTTAGAGAATCATTTCTATGACAAAAATGCCGATAAATTTTATATAATAATCTATTTAAATATTAAATTTTAAACACATATATTCTAACATAACACAAAACGTATTAAATTATGTTATTTAAATAAATAAATGAACATATTTAGAATTTATTAACTACCTGTTGATTATTAGGAATTTGCAATCAAAATATTTATTTAACAATAAGTCAATAAAATTCATATAAATTGTACATATTGAAAGATAAAACCGATTTCCAGTATTTTTGTTATAAAGTAATAAACCATTTTTTTATTCAAATTAAAAAAAATATAAATCTATAAATAACTAAATAACAATAATTTAACATGAAATTAAATTGAGACAGACATATTAAAATACGTAATAATATTAATTTCAAAATAAAAAATTGCATACGACAAATAAATGTTGAACTACTGAAATCAAAAGTTATAGTCGAATATTAAGAGTACATTACATTCTGGAAAAAACTTTTGACTGAAAAGGAAGTCGGTTTAAAATATTGGTGACTAGTGAATTAAATAGTTAACATCCAAAATAAGTCCATATTTTTGTAATTGTAATTAATGTTTTGGGAATTATAATTACTTGTAATGTTTAACATACCAATAAACAATTACTTCTAATTATAATCAAACTTTTACAAATTACAATTAATTGCAATTTATGCATTACTAATAATTACAATTACATGCATATAATATAAGTTTAAATATTAGGTCCAGTAGCCATTTCAATAATGAAATGTTTGGATTGACTCAGGGTCGGTCATATTATCAATTAGATCGGAAATTTGTATAAAATCGGTAAATCCCTTAAGATTTTGCTCGAAAAAAATTAAAGAGATGAATGCTGAGCAAATTGAGAGTCAAAAACCTTTCTTTTTGATATGATTAAGTGCTTTGTTAGATTTCAAGGCTACAATTCCAAAAGTTATCTCTTGATAATGTCGACCG